TATTTTTTTTCTTACCGTCGGAGAGCCCTGATATTTCACGGAAAAAGTGGGTCGGAATTACTGAGTGGTAACGGACCCATCACCACAAAGCGACAGCACTCCGGCTATTCAAGTCGAAGCAGAAAGGAAGAGAAAAGAAAAAGAAAAAAAAGGAAAGAAAAGGGAAAGAGGAACGGCGAATAGAAACGCAACTTGCGAGAATCCCATCTTTGACCCCCTCTTACGTTCCTCTGGGAGGGTTCCTGTTATCGCCTCCAAGTCCGAAAGCCTGAGCATCTATTGGGCGGTGGCTTTCCAATATTTCCTCTCCTCTCCCTTCTCCTTTTCACCACTGTGAAAGATTACGTCCCCACGCACTCCACCACACCCTCGGAACCCACGAGGTGCTCTTGACCAGTGGTCTCTTTTCTTTCTTTCCTGTTCATTTTTTTTTTTTTTTTTCGCCCTTTTTTCCTTTCACTGCTGGTGAAAAGAATCACGACTTGGTTCGTCCGAAGCCTTTTTAGGCCGCCTCCTCCACCCAGGTTCGCTACCGGCTGGAGTCCGACCAAATTTCCCTCCGTCTCGATTTTAGGGTGATTTATATCCTGGGTCGCCACTCGATCAAGACACCGTCTCTCGCGCTATCTCTCTTTGAGTCTGGTGGTCCGTTTTATTTGTTTTTTTCAATCTTAAACCTTTATCTAATCATTTCCTCGTTTCGCTTGTGGGTGCTGTGACTGGCCTTGGCCCTGGATTACTTTCTTAACCCTCGTCCCCCAGGCCTAAAAGCGACGGTTCCTTTTTTCTTCCCGCTGGTTCCTCGTGCTGCTGTGCCTACCGCCACCTGCAAGGCATCCTCCGTCCACCCTAAAAGGCGACTAAGGCAATTAAGCATCATCTTGATCCAAGCATCATATCTTTCAGTCCAGCACCGTCTGATATTCCTATTCTTAACTCAATTTGTCAATTACCTCTGCCCCTCGGTGTCATCTGTTTTACGACGAGATCACGCGCTTGATCTTGTCTGTTTTCTTTCAATTTCCATTCACCTTCCAATCATCAGCTCAGGTGTGAATAGCGCCTGCGCGAGTCCTCTGTTGATACTGTTTCTGGATTGGGCGACTTCCATCCAGATTCACTACTGAAAAGTACGTCTACAAAGGAAGAAAGAAAAGGAAAAAGAGAAAGACTTCGTCACAAGATCATATTGCGATCTTGTACACCAATCTTTCCTTCCCCTCCTTCATATCGCGATACAACATACTCGTGTTTGTATCCATAAAGCTCATTGTGTTTTTCGACGCGTCTAGAAACAGCAGACACGCGAGTTTGGAGGAATATTAGGGACATCTTCAGTTCCGGCTGAGATCTGTGTTTTATGGACAACAGACCTGCCTCCGAGTACGCGCAGTCAGGTTCGCACTTTCCGTATCCACCGTCTGCCGCTGCGCATTCTGAACTCCCAGCTGCAGACCAGGCTTCTGCTGCTGCCACTGCTCAATACACGCCTCAGCAAGAGGTCCGTCCTACCCCTCAGTATACGCCTCAACCCGAGGTTAGACCTGCCTCTGCCGCCGCCGCCAATATTTCGTCCTCCAACACACCGCAGTCGGACTACGGTCTGAACCAGCCGCCCGCCGCGCGCTCACCCGCTTATCCGGACTACCTCGCTCGCCCGCCTCAATACCATCACGCCCCCAACACCCAGGCCGGTGGTGCGGCAGGTATGGCTCAAGCAACAAGTCCGTCCATGACCACCCTCCATGATGGGCACCAAAATGACCATCGCAATCACACGAACGTGAAGTCTGACGCGGACGTTCCTATAGATCCCTCAATCGCGGCCTCTAGCCCTACCTATCCTCCTCCCTATTCGCCGTATCAGCCTCAAGGTCATGACATGGCCCAGTATCAAGGTCATCCTCCCCCGCCGCCTCCTCAGATGTATGGGCGTCCGGAATGGTCGCATGGTTATGGACAGCACCAGCACGGTCTTCCTGGACCCTATAGCGCTCCTGCTACAACGGTTGGTTCCGCCTCCCCTGCTGCGACCGCAGGGCCGCGCCCTGGCCAGGTATGTCTTTGATAATTTTGGCGTCTATTTCCAAAGGCTGCGCGTCCGCGTTTTTTGTTGTCTTGGACGCCTCTGAAATTGGAGGCCGCTGCCTGCGTGCCTGACGGGGTTGTGGAACACGGCGCACTCTTCATCTGCACCGAATATGTTGTTCAAAAGCTCATTGACTTCTATTACAGGTCTACTCTTTTGTGCCCATTCCTGGGGCGCAACAGCACAAACGACCCCGACGTCGCTATGAAGAAATCGAACGTATGTACAAGTGTGGCTGGAACGGGTGCGAAAAGGCTTACGGTACTCTCAACCACCTGAATGCCCACGTTACTATGCAGTCGCACGGAGCCAAACGGACTCCCGAAGGTATGTTTCCGTTCCTCTATCTTCTTTTCTCTCTCTTTTTCAAAGCCCAATTACAATGTCACGGATTTGCCCCGTTTTTGATAGCGCCATTGGTTTCGATTAGACTAGCGCGGGTATCTCACACTAGTCGAGTTACACTGCTTTAGCGCTGCGGATCGCAGTAGCGCAAGGCACTGGCGTGGTGTTAAATTCTACATACCGATTCAACTTCGATGCTCAGAATGTGGAGCATCTTGTTTCATATGCCCGCTTTCACTCATCCTCGACTATTGTTCTATTAACTAATCTTGCCCTTTGCCACAGAATTCAAAGAAATCCGCAAGGAATGGAAAGCTCGAAAGAAGGAGGAAGAAGCCCAGCGTAAAGCTGCCGAGGAGCGTGAACGTGCTGCCGCCGCTCAAGCTGCTCAGGCGAACCAGGTTGATGCTCCCGGTCCCACCGATCCTGCGCAGGCTCAACCTCCTGCTTACGCTGGCGGTGTCCGCCCTCAGCTGCCGCCAATTGGCTACCAACCTGCCGACGGCCAAGTACCGGGGCAGTATGGCGGTGCCAGTGGCATGGTGTATCAGGGTAATGGCCAGATGGCCTATCCTCCAAACTACCCTCACTCCCCGTATGGACAAAGCGGGCAGGTATATCAGCAACGTAAGTAGTCAGTCCTTTGTTATCATTGCATTGTCAGGACCGAGCCACGAGGAAATGCACAAAAAAGAGAGGAAGGAAAAAAAAAAAAAAAAAAAAAGAAAGAAAAATATTTATCTCTTGTCAACATGCCGCAAGGCAGGATGGAAAGACGTTTCAACGAGGTCCTTGGATCTATTGCTCTAAGGGACAATAGCTGATCGACGATGGCTTCTTGCAGAAAACCAATCGGCCAGCTACCCACAATAGATGCCCATCATTCCTGTGTTCTCTCAGGTTGCATATTCTAATATCTCTTACCTCCCTAATTCCGTGTCGCCATCGCGGATCTAATTCTTTGAAGTCTCGCGCACATGATACCATCTGGCCTTGATTCGTTATTCTCGAAGAGCGGCCTTGCGACTTACGCTCTGTCCCCGTTGTTGTTGTTTTTGAATTAGATCGCTTGACATGAAAAGAGAAGACAAAATCTACCCCTTTGCACTCAAATGACAACATGCCCTCGTCCTTGCAAAAACTGGCTCCAGGACTGTTGTGATTTTGGACTCCTGGCGAGGCACTTTGCATGAGCTGAGCATTCTCCTGTGATACATGCCGGCATCTTTTTTATCGAGCCCCTTTCATTGATACTCTGCTTCGCTTCGCATTGTACTTTTTTTTCTCCTTTGTCCTGACTGATGTTTTTCTTTCCTCGTTACCCTGGGTTGGTTTGAACTTGTGCATTATGTCCTTTGCTCAGTGGACCTTCCACGCAGTCATGACCCTGTCTGGTGGCTAAAGTCTTACAATTCGATCTTGATTATTCCGCTCTTCGCTCCTGGTGGCAACTGCCACTACCTCGTTGGGCCTTTGAAATTTGAGACACGTGATGTGGTGCATAATCGAAGCTTGATAGCTCAAATGATGATGTCCAAGAGATTCAATTGCGGTTTTCTCGTAAATTATCAATATTCCTAGGCAACATCACTTGGGAGTCAAGAGTTTGGGTGGACCTCGCAACCCCTATGAATGACACAGGTACGGGGAAGCGCTGTCCATGAACGGGTTGAAATACCAGGAGGGTTAGTGAGGCTGTAGAAGATATGAGCATAGGGTTCTTGCCACACTCTAGAGAGGTATCAAGTAAGACATTTTTATGTGCCTTGACTATGATTTGAAGTTTTCTTGGGGTGCTTGATTCAATCGTGTTTTTTACTAAATGAGACAGTTGCCGTTGCATGTTCTATATCATTTTTAAGTCGTACCCCAGTTAGTCGCTGCTTATCCCTCTTAACCTTCAAGCGGAGGGTTCCCACTTTTCTAAGAGATCCGTAAGGTAGGACAGACTAGTATCCTAAGTGGCCTAGCCGTAAATAATAAACGCGACGATTAGTTCGATCCTGAAGCATGTACGGGACTAAGAAACGGGACTACCGAGGAGGCTAACAGTAAGCATGAGCCCGTGGTCTCATAAGGCTGAACCAAGAGCATAGCGCAGTGTGGCGAAGCTGTGCAACATGTGGCTTGTAGTGTGGCTGGTGAAGTTGCCTGGCTTGAAGCAAGATAATCCGAACGGAACTATGTTCTTCCGCAAGAATGCAGCAATCGCAGTGCGCTAACCTTTTATTGCCTAGCTCTGATAGCAGCGATAACTGCGATAGCCCAGACGCTTTTTTTGGGCCTGGCCTGTATGATTTCTTCCGGTGGCCGCTCAAGGGTGTTATTCTCTCCAACGTCCTATCTTCTCTTCCTCGGTAATCTTTGTTTGATTACTGTTCTTGCAAAGATCCAAATAGCGAATCAGTTGAAATTTTGATCTGTCGGCCCAGCTTCAACATTCGGAGTCGACGATTGCGCATTTGACTACGCCAGGTCGAACGTTTGGACCTTACAAAGGGGTGTTTAGAGGATCAGGTGCTAGTGATTGAGGAGATACGGTAGGGTCAAGACCTGAAGGCCCTAAATGCTTCGCTGTACCAATGGCGCTGCGCTTCGGACGAGTGTCCAGCACACTGTCGGATTGAGAAGTCTGCTGGTCTCAAGATCCACTCAAGTCTCTCAGAGCATCCTATACGGTGCTCCTCTTGCGCGCGCCGCACAGAGAGGTCGAGTTGTGGGTCAATCTGTAGCCTGGGGGTCAATTTCCGGCGTGCAGCGGTACTCGACAGAGGCTTCGAGGTGGGCCGATGCGGACGAGCAAAGTGCCGCCGATTCAACGGCGAATTTTGAGGACGACGAACCACAACAGAAAAGGAAACCGGCCTGGGACAAGAGAAAACGCTTCCAGGACCATGTGCTGTTGGAGATTGCCAGCGGCGGGGCGCATCCCGATGGCGGTCCCTTAGCGGACGTAGTCAGGAGGAAGGTGGTAAAGAAGGAGTTGCAGTGGTTGCAGGATCCCAAGGCGCTGGCGGACCGGGTCGCTAAAATCTTGCAAGCCGACGATTTTGCTCTCGCGGTGGCGATTGTTCGCGGGGCGCAGAAGGAGAATATGGAGTGCTCAGTGGGGTGGAATCACCTACTGGAGTACTGTATGAACAAGAAGCAACCTAAAGCGGCATGGAAGCTCTACAATGAAGTGGGTAGTTTTCTTTTTCCCCGTTCGCAAGTTTTCTTCTTGCATGGTTGCTGACTGTCGACTCTCCGCGAACTCGCAGATGAAGAAGCGTGGACGAAAGCCTACTTCCTGGACTTATACGATTATGTTGTATGGTCTTGCCACAGTGCCGAAAAACGTGCACATAGGATTGAATCCCGTGCGAACTGCTTTGTCAATTTACAGATCTATCTATGAGCTTAACTCTGCAGTTAAGCCTTCTATCATTCACAGCAACGCCATGCTCACCGTATGTGTTCGCCATGGGTATACAGATACACTATGGGAGATTGCGAGTGAGCTACCCGAGGAGGGGCCATGCTCGCCCGATGCTGTGACATACACCCTTATATTGAGAGCAATCAGAGACGCCGTCAGTACTGACGTGAGCAAGATGTCTGAGATTGATCGCATCTTGGAGCGAAAGGCTCAGAGCGTCAAGGAAGGCAAACGAATCTGGTCTGATGTTGTCTACCGGTGGAGCAGAGGTCAACTCGACATAGACATCCAACTCGTGCGTACAATGGCCCGCCTCTTGCTTGAAGGCGGCAGCGAGCGCGATTGTTACGATGTCTTCGCACTCTTGAATCAAACTACTGGGCTTCCCATCCTGGCAAAGAAGCCTTCACCTGAGCGCCAGCGGGAGTCTGAGGTGGCCAGACGCCGAGAGAGCCGATCCGCAGAAAATAAGGAGATGGAAGACGTTCCCTTTGTAGACGAAGGCAACCGACCATACAAACCAGCAGAGACCGAAATGGGAGAACGCGAAGAAAAGGCAGAGCAAAAAGAAGAAGAAGAAGAGGAAGACGATGAGGAATTTGAAAATCTTTTTGACCCAGTGGTGTCTACTGGTTCTTCTTCCAAAATGAAGAAAGGCACCATTGGTCCATCCTACGTTGTTCCAGGTGACAAGGAGCTCACCATACTTATTGAAACTTGCTATACCATGACTCAGGGTGTTGGTACTGGAAAAGCTTACTGGAAGCATTTAACGCTCGAGGATCACGAGTATACCATCAAACCAGACATGCCTTCGTTGCATGCATATTTGCGACTACTAAGAGTGTATCGCGCTAGTCGTGCTACGGTCGATGTTGTGCGCGACCAGGTGCCCGAACCAGGTTGGAAAACGTTCCACATCGCGATGAGCTGTTGTCTTCGCGATCGCAGGAATATCAACATTCTAAAAAATGCCAACGAACTATTGGGAATCATGGACAAGTCCATGGTCATTCCCCACCCCCGGGCGCTTGAAAAGTATCTTAACCTCGTGCAAACACTACAGGACAATCCACAGCGCCTCATATCATTGAATGGCCTGAAGATTGCGCGGAAACCCTCTGACAGCCTCGACATCGTGGGCCGGAAATTACGGCTGAGCTTGCAGACAGTTGCTTTGGAGAACCTTCGTCCTCACATTGACAAGCTTCATGAGGCTATGAAGAATGGAAAGACTTCATTTATTTCACAGGCTGAGCGGACGCGGGCGGGCGCGGGCGATACAGTTTCTGGTGCGACCGCTCGCACGGTGATGGATCGCACCCGAGGTCTGATTGACGAGATCCTCAAGCCCGAGAATGCGCCCTTCCTTTCCAAATCGGACCGTGAGCAATTCGAGCAAGAGTCGCAGAAACTCCGCGAATACTCGGATGCCGAGATGGTCCGAAAGTTCGAATACGCCCGATTGCATCCAACCCTCGAACAGGTCATGGCATTCCAGGAGAAGCATGACCCTAAACAGAACGCTGACGAGGCCCAGGCCCCTGACGAGGCCGACTAAGCTTCGTATCTATATGCAAGGCTTATGGCAGGGCTATTCAGAAGCCCATTTGATTTGTACAGCTTGTATAAACACCGTCTCATTACTATATCCCATCTTTGTCTGGCATATTGCATGCATATACAGGGGTCGGCATTGCAACACTAACTTGTATAATATATGGTTCTTCTGTTCCTCATGGCATTGAAGATCTGTGCCTGTAAATATTTCATCTCCAGAATCACTTCTAGATTGCGTCGGACAATCGGACTGGTCACATTGTGTCGAACTGATCCAAGCATATGCCCACGTGCACTCATGATGGCACCAGCTGAAGTATACAACCGCTGATAATCAGCACATATCCTAAGACATATTAATAGTATGAGTTACCAGTACTACTGTTGGAAAGGGTGGATTGTTTCACACTCAACCGTTCATCGAAATACTGTTCCGCCTGCCATTTTCGGCCCGTGCGCGTACGTAATGCCACTCTAGCCTCTCCGCCTGAGACAACAGCACGAGGGAGACTTTACTGCTGTTTCCGAGGGACACACCATCAAAATACTCTGTTGAGGATTAGCATACCTTTTGACATACTTCAACCGAGGGGGCAAGGCGTTTGGAGAGTATACGGCTTGACAGAGTGTGAAAATCTACCATTGGACCAGAGTCGGAGCTCAAGCAATCTACGTGCCTACCATGGCCAGCACTTCCCAAAGTCGTTTCCATGAGGATCTACGCGATGATGAATCGATCCTTGATGACGACCTGATTGAGGCCGATGATGGTGAGTACGTCTCATTTTTCATGTTCTTTCTCGATATTATCAGATCGGCTCTTGTTTGTTTACCCGAGCTAGTACGATGTACTGACGCTTCATGACCTTTCTACCGTGCCAGCCATCGAAGCCGATGACCCTCTTCACACTTCCGATACCGCTCCGCTAAGAGGCAACATCCAGTCCGAACCCTCCAGTTCGAGCAGAGGAGGTTTCGGAAGCAATCTATCCAGCAATTACCTGACATCGACCATCCCGGGAGAGGACCGCCGCGCAACGCAGAACACCATCGATGAAACCGTGTGGGAGACGCTCTCACGCGACCTGCGAGCGGTATGGGAGAAGCTGCGCCAAGTGCTGTGGCCCAAGTACCTGATGGGAGGTATGCTGCAGCGCGGCGGAGGAGGCATCGGGGCCGCCGAGAGAGGCGAAGCGACCGGGTTCGGTGGCGGACTCAGAGGCCTTGTAGGACGCTGGCCGGATGCCGACGTGGTCTTGCAGGGTGGAATGAGTGAGGGTCTGCGTGACTGGGATCTTTGGTAAGTGGGAATGGTCAACAGAAACGGCGGAGTGGCTAGCTAACATGTTCAAAACTATGTGTAGGGGTCCGCTTATTTTCTGCTTGCTGCTGAGCATGTTCCTATCGATGCGCGCAAAGGATGACCAGTCATCCCTCGTCTTCTCGGGTGTCTTCTCCATAGTTTGGATTGGAGAGGCTGTTGTGACCTTGCAGATCAAGTTGCTTGGCGGGAATATGTATGTTTCACCTTGGAAGTGTTTGGAGTGCCGAATTACAGAGACGCTGATTGACTAACAATTTATCCTCGGTTACTAGTTCGTTCTTTCAATCTGTTTGCATCATCGGCTACACTCTGTTCCCTCTGGTCATCGCTGCTATGCTCAGCGCATTGGGTCTTCCGACCATTGCCCGGATACCGGTGTACCTAGCGCTCATTGCATGGTCCTTGGCTGCAGGTGTGAGCATCTTGGGTGGTTCCGGTGTGATCAAGAACCGGGTAGGCATTGCGGTCTATCCGCTGTTCGTATTCTACATCGCGATCGGCTGTCTTTGTTTTATCAGTTAGAAGATTGGAGGATCGATACGGCCGGCCAGGTATCCTAACAATCTAGTTGCAAACCAAGGTTCCAGTATACAGTCAAGCGCCAGATGAATTGAAAAGGGACAGGAACACAACATTTGAGCATGTATGCTGCTATACTATCAGTGAATGAGCTTTTTATTCTTTGTTTGTTCCAGCTATTATCATATCCGAATTCACAAGTAGGTACTGTACGGAGTACTTTCACTCGGACGCAGATTACGAGGATCTGCCAGCAGAATTGAAGCAACACGAACTGGTCAATGTTACTGATGAAGAGTAGATTAGAGGGAGAGGATAACATCTTTAGTGTTATTATTACTTTAGTTATCAGTTACAACACAAGGATATCCAGCATTGCGATACCCGCAATACTCCTTACTCTCACCGCTCCAAGTGTAATCACAGACCATCGTTACGAGACTGACGACGCAACGGCACTTCAATCGCCGGGATGACGGTCTCCAGGCCCCCCGCCAATTCCCGTAGTCCGTCTTCGCCCTCGACATCTTCGCCCCAAGGCAGGGCATCGATGTCGACATCCCAACCAAGCAGACACCGCAGCACGACGCCGGCACCCGCCTTGCTCATCACGGAATTCAGCTCCCTGCATTTCTCATCGCAAACGCACTCCATACAACCCTGCGGTGTGACGCACTGGCACGCTTCGATGCGCGCCACCGCGCGGCGAAGCAGGACGTCGATGAACTCGAACGCTTTGCTCGCAATCCCGGAGCCGCACGAGCCGCCCTTGGCGTCATAGAAGGTGAGACGCGCTGGCCGTTGCCGGGCCGGGGGCTGAAGTTTCCTGATGTTCTCTTTGATTTGTCGATCGCGCATCTCGTTCGCGATCTTGAGGTTTCTGCCGAGTTCCTTCTTTGCGACTTTGCACTCCGTTTTGACGTCGCCAGGCGAGGAGATGACGAACGTAGGCAGCAGGGAGAGGACAGCATGTTCGGCTGCGTGAATAGCGGCAGCGATGTTGAGGCGTCTCGATTCGAGGATCTCTAGCGCGCGTTTAGGCACATCGAGCCAAATGCCTTTAGTGAAGATGTCGATCGGCGGGTTGTCCACCGCCACGGCATCCAGCACACGGCCACGCTTGTCAATTTTGAAGAAGCCATACACGACTGCGTGGATCTGCACCGAGCCGTAGAATGCGCGGGAGGCGGAGGTCTGATTGATCTGCCGCATCATTTCCGTTTCAATGGGGTCAATATCTGTGTAATCGCGCTGCATTGTGCTCCAATCCACGTGAACCTTGACAACGCGAGCGAACCGCTGATCAGTGTTCAGTTCCTTGACGAGGTATGTCTGGCCCTGATGCAGAAAGATGCCGCCTTCGTAGATAGTGAAGAAGGCACGAGAAGCCTCCACTTCCTCCAGGACGACATTGCGTGCGTTTGTTGCGTCAATGATGGCAAAATGCTGGTCCTCTGTATCGCGAATGGGCACACACCGGGAAGGATGAGGTCGGAATCTCTCGTGGCAATGGTAGAACCCAAAGGTGTCCTTCACGAGTCTCGTGGCCGCGAGCTCATGCAGTTGCTCTCCAAAATAGACTTGATCCTCGTCTGGCCGGATCGGCATCTCGAACGCCGCGCATTGAACATGTCCTTCGAGAATCAGCTCATTGGAAAGATCAATTTGTAGCTCGCAGTTGGGTTTTGTGAACAGTTCATCTGGATTTTGCATGTAGTATTGATCGGTCGGGAACCTATCGCCAACCAACACAGACAAAGAATCCTTGTTTCGACGTCCAGCTCGACCGCTCTGCTGGCGCAGGTTGGAGATGGAATAAGGGAAGCCAAGAGTGATTACAGCATCCAGAGAGCCAATATCGACCCCCAGCTCGAGGGCGTTCGTAGCGACAATCCCTAGTAGGTGGCCCTCAAACATCTCTTTCTCAATTTTCCGCCGGTCTTGCGGACTGTAGCCGCCCCGGTAACCCATGACGAGTTTTCCAACTTCTAGTCTATCCAAGGCCTGAAACTCGTTCCGTACGGCTTGTAATAGTACCTCGCACGTTTTCCTGATCCTGCAGAAGGCAATTACTCTCGCGCCTCTGAGGATTAACTGACAGAAGAGACGGGCAGTTTCAGCAACACTGTCTCCGCGTCCTGATGTGGAGTCAGTAGGGTCTTTGTAAGGGGTGTTCCAGCATAAGAACTCCTTGCGGCCTGACGGTGAACCGTCAAAATCAATCAGTCTGACATCGTCAATGCCAAATACTGCCTTCATATGTTCTTCGGGGTTGGCTACGGTGGCAGAACAGGATATAAACCGGACATGTCGGTTGCCCACCGCAGCACAGATCCGACGCAGCCGTCGCATGATGAATGCAACGTGTGATCCGAATAGACCGTTGTAGACATGCAACTCGTCGACGACAACAAATTTCAGGTTCTTCAGAAAGGTGCGCCAAGAACTTTCCTGCGGTAATATCGTGATGTGCAGCATGTCCGGATTGGTGAATATAATGCGGGCCTCGTCACGAATGAGGTTGCGAGTCCCCATCGGAGTATCGCCGTCGAATGTTTCGACCATGACGTCCTGCAAGCCGTCCATAAATTGCAGAAGCTCCTTCATGCTGCGCTTCTGATCCTGTGCGAGAGCTTTAGTGGGGAAAATGTACATGCCGCGGCTGTTAGGGTCTCTTCCAAGCTCATGAAGCATTGGGACCTGGTAGATCAGTGACTTGCCGGAGCTTGTAGACGTAGATACAATGACATCTTGACCGGCGTATAGAGAGTTGACCGCTTCGGCCTGATGCGAGTAGAACTGTGTTATGCCCTTTGTGTTGTACAAAGCGTTAACGAGGTCCTGCGAGAGCTGGAAAGTCAAGTCTCCGTAGACGGGAGACTGGGCCTCAAACACTCTATGGCCTTCGGGTACGATCTGAGCGAAGTACCAATCCATCGCGCGAATTTCTTCAATGATCTCTGCCATGGATTTGCGCTCCTTGGGAATCTCGCGAGGCGGCATCGAGAGGAGTTTCGCCGTCTCTAGGCTGTCATCCTCAGAAACAGGAGGACTCGGTATCCATGCGTCCTTCTCCCTTTCCAGCCTCTCAACTGGATCGCTGCCGCCGTCCTCGCACTGCACCAGGAACGCATCGATGGCATCAGAGAACTTCTTATTCCGTTTCTCAATCAAAGCAAGCATCTGCTTTTGACTGTACACAGGCATCTTCAGATCCTCGTCCTTCATCTTCCGCACGGGTTTCGTGGGCTCCCCGTTCTTCGGATGTCGCACCTCGCGCTTCAGATCCCCGTCCAGAAACTCAAACAGCAACACCTCCTTCGACTGCACATCCGCATCAACATCAGACCCATCGCATTCCGGATGCGAGAGGCCATAAGACTGATTCCTCGCCGTCTCCTTCTCCCCCACCGTCATAACCTCCAACTTGGCCTCGTCCACATACTCGAATTTCACCGCCCGAGGAACCAGAACCCTCACCCTTGCAATATCCTCAACGGTCAGTGCGCGACCACTGCCCAATTGCGCCTGTACCGCTTTCCGGATATTCTCGAACGTCGTGGCGAAGTGTTTGCGCGTGCAGCAGAATGTGTACACCAGGTTCAGCGCGCGGTGGATCTGAGACAAACTTTTGAAGGCCTCCGGCCAGGGTGCGGAGGGTTTGCGCTTGGGTGATGGGCTCTTGATCACCTTCTGGGCTCTTGATGTTTTGGTTGATTTGGATTTTAGCTTCCCCTGTTCGGATTTGCCGATCATGGGTATCGCGTCGCTTTCCGTGTCTAGACTGTCGCCCTGGTCGGTCGCTGTCTTACCAGATGCAGCGTCCGATTTGAGTGTGGCATCCACATTAGTTGTCTTTCGCGGTCTTCCGCGTTTTCTTTTGGTATTGGGGCCTTCTTGCAAAGGGAGGTTGTGCTCCGTGGACGCGTTGCTAAATTCGGGTGTGTCTGATCCGAAATCGTCTATTCCGTCGACCTCATGGTTTCTTTTCCTTTTCAATGCGAGGCTGGAGGGAGCTGAGTCTGACATTGGGCCAGCCATGTCGACGCTCCATCGTGGTTGTCGTTGGGATGTGACAAAGCTGAATTGAAGGTGGGCAAAGCAGAGTAATTCTACCAGCGAAGACGCGATATCACGTGCCATCGCATTTCATATAGCCACTTACGGACTAGCGTACTCTGCCTCTCGCATAGGTAGCTTCAACAAAGAAACGAAACAAGAAAAGAGTGCAATATGTATTAGAGAAGACAGAAGTTACTCCTCAGTCTAGGTAGTTCAAATCATGCTCCAAAGCTTCATGCTCCAGAGCTTCAAGCCCCCAACAACCAGCCAGAAAATGCAAGAAAGCCAGCCCACATCTCCAAGCCTGCTCTGTCAATTGCCCCATAAGATCTATTGTCGGTCCAGGTATCGTGAAAGGTTTCCAAGTATGGACAGCTAATGATTTGGTGCAATGTACTCCATCGTCGAATGTGTCGCGTCGATTGCAACCGAGCCTTTATTGACATAGTCTACTGGTGCTGTAATAGATCCTGAATGACATGGTAGAGCTCTTTGGCGGCGTCCTCACTTCCCACCTAGTGTTATGTCAGAAACGATGTCACGATGGGCACTTGTAGAGGAATGCCTTACCCTGAGCAGGAGGGGAACAGTACGGCCATCCTCAACACCAGCCAGATGAATCTGCTTGGACTTGGGTTCGTTGCCCGAAGGATCTCCGACCTTCATGCCCTTGAAAAGGGGCGTGTTGAGCATGACTCTCAAGACGCCATCCGCTCGCATGATCATGCGAGCCGCCTTTTTGTCCTCCTGGCCGTCGGTAACTTTCACATTCACCTTAAATGTGCCAATACCGCGCTCCTTCCATTCCTTGTTCGTGAACTGGAAAAGCTTCGCTTTGCCGCTGAAGTACGTCTTTTCTTGTTCCTCGCCTGTCTCAACTGTGGTAGAAAGAAAAGACGTCAGTTTTGAAGCAGTCCACTATGAATCGGACGAAATATCACATACTCTGCCGCTCAAAGAACCTCTCGTCGGGTTTCTCTGCCTCGAATTCTCTGGGACCCATTTCGGCTTCATCTTCTTCCTCATCTTCCTCATCCGCATCCGCTGCTCCAAATGGCTTGTCCTTAGTGCTGCTTCCAAAGGTGCTAGGCGTAGTGGGAGAAGCGAAGCTGGTGAGCCCCCCGGACTTAGCAGCTGCTCCGAATCCACCACTGAACCCTGAAAAACCAGATCCTAAGGCCGCAAAGCCGGAGGTACTTGCTCCAGCTGCAAATCCCGTCGCCGCTGGTTTCTCAGTCTCGGACGCGACTGAAGACTTGAAAACAGATGGAGTGGACGTTCCAAGCGAACCGAAAGGCGACTGCTCTGAGCCAGCAAATGCTGCCAGGCTCGATGAGGCAAAGGCAGAGGTAGAGGTTACAGGCGCCGATTTGGTAGGCTCTTCTTCCTTGGATTTTGAGGCGCCAATGGAGCCGAATGGAGAGACTGCGGACGTATTCATAAAGGCGCTCGTGACAGGGGCCTGTCGAGCCATGTATGTCAGCTCCAGTTCCCAGCCAAGAATGAAATGCGACGATCAACACTTACCGGCTTCCTTTCTGTGGAATTTTCACGGTGTCGCTTCTTCTCAGGCTGTCCTTCAGCCTTGGATTTGACTTCTGATTCTACATTCTCGGTCTCGGTATCCGTCTTCTCCACAGCACGTTCCACGGACTCGCCTTCATCGAGCTGGTCCCGACTTCTCTTTTCTTTTGGGCTAAAGATCTTCGTTGGAAGATGATTCTCACCCTGCGGCGGCTGCTCGTCGCCTTCGTTGGTAGAGTCGCGCGACCTCTTGCGTCTGTGACCATGTTCCTCGCTATCTCCCTCGGCTTCGTCGTCATCGAATGATCTCTTTCTGCCTCGACTGCTCCACCGGCTATTCGAACCTCCGCCGACTTCGGTGGTGTTGTTGATATCCGCTGATTGCTGTGCATTTGTAGTCGACGTCACCTTCGCACCGGTCGCTTTCTTATCGTTCTTGGTGTTTGCTTCCTCCTGACTAGAATCGATTGACGTCTCCTTCAATTTCTGTCGCACAGGACGCTCGGTCCCATCGTTGTCCGACTCCTGGCTATCTTCGGCCGTGGTTCCTAGAATGGCGGTGGGTGTTAATTCAATTATGCAAAGAGAGAGACTGCCCGTGATCGCTTGAGTACGATAGCAAGCACAGCCGACAGTGTTTCTCATACCTTGCGTCTTTACCGTTTCCTCCTTTCGAATCTCACCTAATAGCAAGCCGCTGCGTCAACATAACATGCGCTTAGAACTTCAATACGAGCTTTCAGGAAACAGGAACTTTACCTTCCATAACTGCAGCAGGCTGTAGATCCGACGCCATACGTATCGGTTATTTCCACCAGTAACTTGAAGCGCTCGTCGGTAGTGTTGGGACAATCTTTGCTCGGCCAGCTTAGATTGGATTATGTGAATGGACTATACATCGACTGTCACCTGATGCAGGAGGAACACCGCATTAGTAGAGGAAGGAGGCAATGTCCAGATTCTGTCCACTGATGATATAGTTGAACCAGATATTATTACCTTTCACAAGGATCATTCGTTTAATATTAGGCTAATGACCTGTGAAATGTAAGAGTTACCCTCCTTCAGTACTCTGATTCAGATACTACCTACATAGATATCCTAGAGGAGTTGGAGACTTACGAGCTGGACGCGATTATGGACGAGGAGTGGATCATTATCAAAGGATAAAGAGAGCGTCAAGTAAGTGGCATTTCTATGGTACCTGACTTATTATGACGGTTGCGTCAATGGTCTGCCCGACTCACCTTAGTCACGTGCCTTCGGCTAGTTGATGACTGTCTTCCCTACTATGTTTTCCCTCCACACGAATGACCCCTCTGGAATTTTGAGCCTAGAGAGCAAAACAAGATCTGATATTCCAAAAGAGGTTATAATCTCTTTTCCCATCAAAGCTAACCCTCGCGGTGGCCACTAAAGACAACTTGTCCCAACCTAGGGATGAAACCCCGGGCATACCATCTGTCGCGCCGGATGCCCTGTGCATATATGGCCATCTATTCCGCATTAACTACGATGTTCCAGAAGAGATTACCCAGCAAATGTTGGAACTATACGACCGTGATGCAAAGTATGAAGAGATCCCGGAGCACCTGAAAGCATACGAAACCGAGAAGGAAGACACAGACGTGGAAGAGGCACGGCTGTTGGAGGAATATAGACGGTAGAAAAAATCCTCCAAACAGAAAAGAACAGCCAAGGAATGAAGGACTAAAGCTGCAATCCACCTCCGGTTGATTGGAAGGTATTATTATTATACAGATGTGCTGAGGAGTGCGACACCTGCTCCAGCCTAATATGATGTCATTCCGATCCTTGTCGTCGTTCGTCAGATAGGCAGATATTTGCAATAGTTTGGGACGGATTCTCTTGCCCATCTAGTCTACTTCAAGCTCTCCAGGACTCGTTGGCGGGCCACAGTACCAGAATTGACTTAAATCCTTCTTAATGATATCCATATATTTTAATGCAGATTTGTTGACATTACCAGCGCCCATACTAAATTATAAGGCCACTGCTTTAGGAGAATATGGCTTCTTAAGAATTGACCGCATTCAATATGTGGCTTAAGTACGGCTGTGCGGACGGGAAGTCCTGTTTTCCACACGCTATGGTCGTATGTGCTAGATCTTAGACAGATTCAGCTTGTATCGAACACCTTGACAGGGTTGAGAGATCAAGTAGTTATCTCTCAACAGATTGTAGAGCGTCTATTGTTATCGCGCAGCGATCATAGCAAAGTTTGTATACAAATGCATGGATATGACGTATAGGGTAAAATGCCGTTTGTATGAGATCCCAGCCCACCCTCGTAGCAACTCCAGGTATAAACGGGTATTTGCGTTTCATGCTTGCCTCCCAATGCTTCGGTCGTTGATATAGACAATTCAGTAGAGCAGGAAAAATCAGGAACAAAAAATATGAGGGTATATAGGTTGAACAGGCGCATGGAAGAAACCAAGAATAGGTGTCAAAACGAGGAAGGGTGTGATATCATGATGTTGGTCGAATGAGGCAGAAGATCATGGAGAGGTCGTTCGGAAGAAGTAAATAAAAATGGCATGCAGGTTAAGCTCATGCATATCCAGCGCAACAGCTCGAAGGTAACGCGTAACAGAGGCGTAAGAATCTGACCCGATCGTTCAGAAAGCATTGAGACGAGTCTGTCATGAGCCTATGGCCTCTTCTTCACGCGTGAAGCTCGATTAAGTGAAAAGCATATGCAAGGACTCAGTTGCCATGTCATCATCGAGAAGGTTCCAAACCAGCAGAAGACGGGCTAGTCTCGCTTTCGGTGTCATCCAAGCTAAGTTTCCAGAAGATGGTTCTCATGTCGCGTACGTTTTCCCGAAAGTCGTCTCGTGCATGTGTTGTCCTTTCTTCAGTCATCGAGCGAACCTCGCGGATGATCTCGGGGTATCCTTCCTCATTTGGTAGCCACCAGTGGTTAATCTCGGGCAATTGCCAAAGGGCTGCCATGCCTGCACGGAACTTGGGGGGCGTGATGTAGCTGTATAACCACGTTTTTAGCTATGCCGGCCAGGAACATAATGCACACCGCGCAATGAGGTCAAAAATGCAAAGAAGAGAGCAATAATACTTACCCGTTCTGCTCCATCAGCGCGAATTTTCTTCGGGCCCACATGACATGTTTATGATCCCTTGGCAGAAACATGCTCGCCATTCCGATGCTGTGCTTGAATGCAAACATATAACCGTTCTCCTTGTCGGGCCACCTTTCGATTGTCTCCATTAATTGGCACTGCTCTAGAGCCAAATGTTCCAGTTCCGCCATTGACGATTGGCGAACGGACAATAAGGATTGGTACTTGAACATTGCTTTTGTTGACAGGTAGTCAATCCAAGCAAAATTAACCTCCCATAACGGGCCGACATGCAGACCGCCAGGAACGTAAGGGTCGACGAAATCATCTTCCGTCAAGGGTTTTTGATTTGGAAAGCTTGTGACCCTGTACTCTGGATCTGTGAGTGTTTCCAGGATGCTCTTCATCTTTTCCAATAGCTGGTCGAGCTGCTCGTTTTGACAAATAAACTCCTCGATCGGGATCATTCCGCGAGAGAGTTTTGCATACAGAGAGGCCATCTCTAGTCCGAATCGGCGATTTATGGACCCCGCCAATGCGAGCTGCTTCTGCGGGTCTTCTGGGAAATTGGCGGCTTGTTCGGCGTCATGTTCTTCTCCAGCAATGTACCACTCACGGCCCAGAATCGCCTCGTTTCCGGCCAATATCCCCGCGACCAGGTCGAATCGAGCGTACCAAAGGAATATATTCGCATGAAGTTCATTGTATTTGACGGACTCTGGAGTTAGAAGTTCGCGCATCAACGAATGAGCGGCTTGATGATGGTCGATGAGATTCACCCAGTCGCCTATGAATTCCTATACTCAGTGAGCATTGGGACGAACCAAGCGTGAAGGAGACACTAGAGAGCAAGCGGGGCACTTCAAGTTCATACCTCGAAAGTTGTAAGCGCAAGGACGGTAATGAGCGTTGCTTCAGAATGTGGCTCTCCCGATGCCAAAGATTTCCGCAACAACTTCAAGGCCTTGTCGTAATACCGAAGAAAGGTATAGAGTTTCCCCGTGCCGCTATGTACCGAATGGTGGTAAGCAGAGAAACCGACGATCGCATAGAGAAGCGGCTCGTATTGCAGGGCAAATCTGATGATGCTGTGATGAACAAACTGATCGGAAGACGGCCTCATAAAATAATGACGATACGTCATGTACTCTTGATGAAAAGTAAGGTAAGATCGCAAATCTTCTGGCAGATGCGAGAAGTTGTCGGCGCCAAGAGGTTCCTGATTGGACAGTCCGACACTGGCCGACCGCGCACTCATCGAATCGAATCTAGAGGAAGCTTCAGTGGAGGGTGAACTGCCTTCTGTGTTGGAGGGTGTCGCATCTGGAGCTGTTTGCTTCGTCCTGCGCTTCCTCAGCGACTGCATGCTTTGCTTTGTAGCCGGGCCCGGCCTGACACGGGCTGGCAGTGATGTTGTGGAGGGAGACAAGAGAGTTGCCGATTCCACGCTGCCTTCGTCCACCTCTTCCTCGTCTAGAATCGGCTCCAGCGCGCGAAACTCATCCAGTCCAACATGGCCCGAAGAGTCACTCCCTTGCGATGGCGGGCGTTGGGCTCTGGCCTTGGTTCCAAACCGCGACGCTGCCTTGGATGAAGTACCAGTCGCAGTGGGCGACGGATAGGCACAGTCGCGATTACCTTTCCGACATCTCTCACAGACCGGACGGGCCTCGTCGCATTTGATGCGACGGGAGCGGCAGGTGAAGCAACCGCTTCGGGTGCGCTTGTGCTTTTTCTGATCGGAGACAGGCTGCAACAAAGGCGGCTGGTGGTGTTGTTTGGTCGGAGTAGAGGAATATGGCGTTGCCGCTGCAGGAATGCCAGGCTGCGGGGGTTGTGGGGGCAGGTTGTGCCAAAAAGCTACACTGTCGGGATACTGGCTAGCACCGAAGATAGAATAAGCAGGGATCTGATTTGGGTCCTGGAAATGCATGTTGCCCGGAAAATAGCCGCTCAAGGGGGTTTGGGCCGTGTCGAATGAACGCGCCATGGTTGTGGCCAGCCGAATTGCATCCAGGGAGCAACGCGGATCAGAGTCCGGGGTGCCGGCATAAGCTATGCGTAGATTCGCTGGCAGGTTGAGACAGCCTCTGAAGGTGAACCCAGGCGAAAAGCACCATCCAGACGGGAGAAGAACCTTGGAAAGACACGGAGGGACGAGGTGGAATGCAGTGGCCAAAAAGAAGAAGAGGGGTCTAAGGCCGTGCCACAATGCGATTAGCTGCAATCAACAACAAAGTCGCTGTAGCGATGGGATCTTGGATTTAATAGGTATTTGGAAGAGAGAATGATAAAAGAAGGATGGGAAGGATTGATGGATGTGTTCAAATGAACAAGACGATGGAGGGTTGACTGGATGAGCCGCGATGGCGGTGGTGGTGGAAATTGGGAGCTGGTAGGCCAGTACAGTAGCAACTGTACGGTACCTATGAAGGTTAGGTAGTACGGCAGGGTATTGGATGGAGAGTCATTCGATAACAAGATTGTCAATCAAGCTAATGATGAGGAAATAATGTCAAATGAACAGGAAGGAAGGAAGACTATGCTCTCATATCCGTCAATATTGATAATAATATTATCAATGGGCCGGATGCCCGTGGTTACATGATTCATGGGCCAACTTATCTACCTACCTAGATAGTAGCTAGACTAGACTAGATATGCTTGATGGCGACGGGAATACTCAAACTTACTTTGGGGCTATTAGTCTTAGTCTCTTAGGTTCTTCCTGCTTGGATTGCCTGGATAGGGCGAATGAAACCACGCAGTATCATAAAATTTCTTATTATTCAAGGCACAAATAAAGACCCAGTACCTCTCTAGGGCCTTTGTCTTTGTTTTTACTGATCTTCAGTTTCAAACTTTTAGTGCATGCATATAATCGTGATGAGACAGACACAATATACTACGAGGATCTCTAGACTACTGCGTACTCGTTGAACTACCTACCAATGGTCCAAGGATCATTCAATGCGCCTGCATAACTACCTAGTCCGTAATTAATCATAAAGCCTGGAATTAGCGTCCCACCAAGCATCAAGTGGATATTTGATGTTGACAAATCTGGTACCGTACTCCGTACACTAAGGGACTACCTAGGCAGTAAGGTAGGTAGACAGTTCGGGGCAGGAAGTTAAGTGGCCGCCGATGGCTCCCAGACTTGGAGGGTCATCCCTACCTAACGTTGTATGATTGTATCTGTCATTTTGCTACTTAGCCAGAGTCAATCTATTCGAGTACTTTATTAGTATCATTATTTTTATTTTCAAGAATATCGCATGATTGACAGCGGGTCATGCTTCTGTCTACTCCGTACTATCACTACTATTTATAAAAGATCAGCTATGCCAGGATCTTTGCCCTTCGTTCCCAAGACATTTTTACTTTTACTACTTTGCAGGGCCTACCTAGCTCCTCAATCTGTGTTTGAGAGTACCCCTCTAAACCGAGGAAAAATAATCCGTGAACCCAGATCAATAAGCTAAAACAGACAAACTGGTCGACGCCTCCGCTGGACCGCTGGTAAGCTAGATCATATTTTTTTGGTTTCATTTCCCTCCACTTTCCTTTCCACCAGGATGCAGGATATGCCAAGAGGATAGGTACTTTAGTTATAATCTCCCTCATTCTTCTACGCAACGCTTTCTATATCCGAGAATGCCAACTTTCGTCTCAAATGTAGACACGTGACTCCAGTCCACCCAGCTCTTAAATCATTATCCAGTCTGGCCTCATTGTCATGGCCATGGGTCATGGCCCACGGAAAGAGATCCATCGGCGTCATTTGAAAGACCGATGTGTGGGGCTCTAACCGATCTAGGCAACCCTTGAGAGTCGGGTATTCCATTTGTAGAAATATCCGTACTCCGTACCTAGACTAGATCGTACCAAGACTACGGAGTACGACGTTGAAGGCTCAAAAGACTACTCACAGTAGAGGCAAGACTTGACCTGTCTTCTGGAGGATTTTGATCCTGTGAAGTTGCGGCAATGAGCCCACGGGAGCGGACAAGCTCCATGCGTCTGCCATAATCGCATCTTTGAGTGTACCATGATTCAGATTGTTGGATCCCTTAGTTCTTAATTGTCGGTGTTATTATTATTATTATTATTCTCATCTGGATGATCCCTATCCAGTTACCTAATCAGTATTTACAGTTACTCCGTTTGTACCCGGCAGTCTGCCAGCGACCTACACAGTAGCATTCTGTCAAACTGGAAAGTGCAGCGAGGGTATATTGACCGTCACGGCGTCCCTGTTTACCCTCCTGCTTCTTCATCCTTGCGCAAATCACCGGAGAGGCTGACAGAGCAGAATTATTATTTCTACTTTTGGTACGAAGTACTCAGAAGCTAGATCCAACGGAGTGCTCCGTACTCCGACCGTATGAGCACTCTGAATCTCTGACAGCCTTTTTCACCATGCACATGCCAAATCGATCAGCCACTACTAGTACCAGAAGGCTACCAGGCTACCAGGTCCCGTCGGCAAATCTGAAACCAGTCCATTGACAACGTGTAACTCCGTACACACTGCCGAACGTTCGTCCGAGGTGGAGCGCCAGGTCCGGGAATGGGTGGAGAACGTGTTGAACGGACCACCAGATGAGACAAGTACTAGATACTACCTAGGTAGGTAGTAACTATCTACGGAGTACTACTCCGTTGTACGGAGTAAATTTGGTGGATTTGTGTAGCAATCAAGCATAGATGGTGGAATCGTCACATGTAATCTCCGAGAGAGCCACTGAAACACACAGCTTAACCTAGGAACTTTACTTCTGACCACGCCGTAATCATATCGTCGTATTTTCTTAGCTGCTGATTCGCTCCAAGCCGCTACTTTCTGACAGAATCTCATCAGTAAGGTTATTCGGCAGTGCGGCACCGGCGGATGTTCCTGATCGGCGGTCTGAATTGACAGCTCTGCCTGTTCTGCCATAAGAAAATGAGCTATCATGGAAAAGACAACATTGGCGCATGCAGGGGCATGGCTGATACAGAGAACGCCGGGTATTACTGGGAAACTATAGCAATGCTCTCCGTGATTCGACGCTCACACTAGCAATGCTGCAGGCTACTTGCAGTCGACGATCAGTTCTCGGGATTTCCGCAGTGCATACCTAAATAGTATGCCAGATGCAAGGCCCAAGTAACCTGGCCTATATCAGATTAAGATAACCATTAATCAACCTCCACAAAGCCACAGGACACCCAGTGGCGAGATATTAGGCTTGAGACAATTGTGTCCATACCTCCGTACGGACTTTTTCTCTGGATTCCGGATATCTAATGAGCACTGCTGAAAGCAGAGCCAAGCTTCTGGAGAAAGCCAATTCGGAAATGAAGGAATCAGCACGGGACTGGATCTAGGTTACTCCGTATCTCATAACAATATCGAACTCGGAGATAGGCTAAAGTTCCGGAGAGCTTTGATGCCGAGTGGATCTTATATTCATTTTACCCTTATTCACTTTCAGGCACAGATCCAGATTAGCCGGAAGTCGTCTTGACTTTGAGTCTTGGTCTCTGGCCGATCTGAACGTCGCCAATAGTAATAGGGTGACCACTAGTCTGTCCTTCATCAAATACGCCCAATGATCGGGACCATATGCTGGTGAGCAATTTGAATTTACAGCTGCACTTGTAGACTTTCTGTAGCCACTCCGTGCTAGTTGTGACGCCTTCATTAGCTGTCTAAACCATTATGGGATAATGCTATGCTGGTTGCTAGTGCCAAGTGTAAGACACCGGCTTATAATAATCCCTGTATTCTGTAGACTGCCCTGTCAGTCTGTACCTTGACACGTTGACTGAGTCACTCAAATATCAAGATCAGCACCCATGGGCAGGGTGACGGCGCTCAATCCTGATAGTCCCAGAGCGCACAGACATTGCAGTAGCAACTTCAGGTCCAATACTAAGGGTCGTTGCCAGACGTCAATCCACAGTTAGCACTGCGGAATACGGATGGCATTATTGTAGATCATGGCACTAGAGGCTTGGTTGTCCACAACTTTGACAACCGTCATCCCGAGTTCGTCCCTTGGGATGGGCTATCTGAGTAATCCAGTGTTGGCATAGTCGAGTGGCATCTTCCTAAAAAGAATGCTGAAAGTGCAGAAAAGAGGCCGCAGACATCAAACCTGGTGAACCAACTCTAGCCCGTGATTATGTGGAAGAAATTCAATGCAGAGAACAGAGCCTCCGTCAGGACTATCCTCAAGAGCCTAAGCCCTTTATTCTATGTCATGGTATCTCGATGCTTTTGATGTGCCTCTTTGAAGCGTCAGCAAGAGGTTCAACTTGGAAATGAACGGAGAAGACGCAGACAAAGAGGCCATACCAATATTATTTTCAAGGTATCTCTCAAAAATATTCATGCAAGGTATCATAGTATCATAGCCGTCACCCCATATTTATACATCAATCTATTTCCTCCAGAGGCCCTTCCGATCCATGATCAAACCCGTCAACTCTCATTGTCGGGCTCGAATTTCGTTGATAGCGAGTTGCACTCCTTCAATTACCACACCCCACTCAATCTCATGGACCTTCTGCTCAAAGGCGTGTAAATCCTCGTCGACACCCTCGACAAAGGAAATCTCGCGGACGAGAATCGGCTTGCCCATGTCAACCTCCGATATCACATTATGAATCATGACACCCGTTTTATCGATCTTGCCCTCCAACCAGGCGGCATGGGCACGCTCAATCGCATTCTGACAAAAACAAAATCAGCCAGACAGAAAAACAGGAAAGAAAGAAAGTAAAGGCAACTCACAGCTCCATTAAAAGCCCCGGGCAAAGCAGGATGAAGGTTGATAATCTTCAACTGCTTAGCCTCTAGTGGCTCTAGGAATTTCGGCGATAGCACATGCATGAATCCCAAACAAGCGACCAGGTCCGGCGAGTCCGCGAGCACCAGCCGAGCCAATTCGGCATCGTACTCCTCCCGTGCTGCTTGTACACCCTCCGGTGTCGAAGGATGCTGCTTCTTGTATTTCACAAGGTTATGGTACTGAGTCGGAATGTCTGCTCGCTTTGCCCGTTCGAGTCCGTATGCGTCCTTGCGATTGGAAATGACTCGCACAATTTTGGCAGGAATTTGACCTTCGCTGACCTTATCGATTACCGCCTGTAAATTCGAGCCATTGCCGGAAATGAGGACGGTGAGACGGATTGGGGTCTCCATCTCGTGTGAGTCCGGGGATATATCTGTATTTGAAGGATGCACTGAGGAATCTAGAGCCGACAGAATGGATTATTCTTCCACGGCACTAATGAATAAAACTGCTGAACCTAGATTCAAAGGATGGAAAGACGAATTGACGGGTCAACAGGCGCACAACATCCTTGATCGATCTTGAAGCCAAAGATTCCTACTCCGACCTTTTTCTTTGCTGATAAGGAGAGCGGGGTCCAAACTGATCGTGGGCTGACTCAGCGGGAATGCGGGGCAGCAGCAACTTTTGTGCCTGAGGCCATATGATTGCACACACTCTCCTTCCATTACTTAAACTTTGAAAGTGCAGCCTGTATTGCGCCTAAATGCAACAAGAATAAAATAGTGTCCTTGATATTTGGGCTTCTGCAGCGAGGAATCACCATGACTATTGCATCATTATCTGAAAGCAGAGCCTGAAGGGGGAATAATGCGACAACGCTCTGACAACGAAAGGAATATGTAACGAAAGGTATGAAGACTTCCATCATGTCAAGTGACAAAAGCCCGTTGCCCATCTAGATTCTAGTAAAACACAATAGGAATTGATCAGAGCATCAAGAGCCAGCCAATCGATAAACAGCGCGATGGGGGGGGTAGTCGTAAGAGATATCAAAAAGGCTAAAAAGAATAAGATGTCACGTCCAGCCATCATACTATAAGCCACACGCCTTATGCCAACTCTGGTATAATTCGGATGTTCGAAAGAAGTCGAGAAACCTAAAGTCCAACGAAAGAAAAAGTGAAGACGAGTCATTGGCTTTGATTAGCGTACGTATAGGTTCGAGCAAAACCAGCGAGACAGGCTTAAGCAGCGGCCGCATTTTGCGTGTTGGGCGCTGGTGTGTTGTTCGTCGCCTCAGTCACACCCTGGCCTCTACAGAGAGGGCAAGAATTCCGACCCGTGGTCAACCACTATGTCACAAATAGTTAGTCTAAGCACTCTCCACAGACAAACACGCGCAGATGGGGACGAACCTGATCAATGCAATCACGATGAAAGACGTGCTTGCACTTTGTCAATTGCCTGAGCTCTTCTGCGGCTTCGTAGTCACTGAGACAAATCAGACAACGATCGCCATCGGGGATTTGGATCGTGCCAGCGCCATCCAAAGCCTCTGCGACGAGCGATCCTGCAAGCTCTACAAGTCGATATAGTCCTCCAGCGAGATTGATGTCGTCCTGGGTGGCAACGGGTGGCTTCGCGGGTCCAAGAAGCGACGAAAGGAGAATCATATCTTCGTAGGTGGGGTTCTATGAATTGTATTAGCTTTGAGTCTCGGGACATGCCAAGAAAACAACTTACATCAGTAAAGAGACTAGGTGTTGCAAACGCAGGATGGTTCTCAGAAAGGTTGGTTCCCACGACATAAATCAGCCAGCTTCTGCCCGCAGGAGGGGGAGTGTCAGGTTCCACGACACCATTGCGTCGAACAGCGCCAGAGCCTAGCTCACGATGACGAGCATACTCAGAATCACTGCGTCGCCGTTGATGTGACGGCTGGAACGGGATCCTGTCTGCAGTGGATTCAGGCGCAGGCTCAACTGACGGTTGCATCAACGGATGCTCATCAACTTGAGGCAAGGGGTTTGACGGCAACGCCGAGGCAGAGGACAGTCTCCGATTGGGTGTTGATGCGCCTGAAGATACTGCAGATAAGCCTGGCTCGGCAGGTGTCGACGGAGGCGGATGGGGACCCGGAGGACTCTCCGAGAGAGTCGAAGGGAGTGACGGGAACGGAACGCGAGTCCCAGCGTCAGAAAATCTTCGCGCGCTTCGAAGGCCCTGGGGTGAAGTTTCAATGTTCGTCGACAAAGGGCTAGGGGCACCGAGTTGCTGTCGATTAGGTACGAATCGTGACCGATTATCAGCAAGAGGCACTGCGGGACTGTTGTCCTGACCTCGTGGTGGATTCCCTGGCGCTAGGAATGGTAGTCGCAACAATGCGTCCAAGCCTGGCGCAGCATTTGACTGTTGATCGCCAAACGGCCCACTGCCTGTGGGAACAGATCGAACGCCCACAACTACCAAGGTAACGGTGCGGCCCTCGTTATCCCCGGCGCTATTGTCAACGTCCATGCCATCGCCACGACTACCGGCAGCATCCGGTTCCGTAGTTGAGTGATTTGAGGAAGCTGCAGGACTTGGATTGTCTGAGTTGGCAAACCTGAAAACCCGTAGAAAGTTGACAGGCTGGGGAGGGCTGTTCTCTCCTGAAGCACTTGCGGTGTCATTCGAGGCGGTCTGTGCTGATGTGGCATGCTGTAGACTTTGGATGAAGTTTTCCAGCGACCCTTCTAGGCCATCATTGCCCAAAGACTGGATGTTGGGCAGTACTGGGCCCGCCGCGCCAGAAAGCTGGGCAGCAATCGCAGCCGCAGCCAATTGCAGAACCCGTGAAAGAGGAGTGTGCTCGTCACGCCGAAGAACTCTGGAGGGTCTTGCACGTAAGGGCCCCGGTAATTGACGTGAAGCTGAAGCGTTTTGAGTGGATTGTGAGAAGAGTGGCGGCACTGGCAGATGATTACCACCCGCTGCAGCTTCCACAGAATCAAGTTCATGAGCGTGGTCGAAATCCATGCTAGTGTCCATGGCGCTCAGTGGTGGCAGACGAATGTCGGGATGGTCGCCCAGGCCCTCCCGGAAATGTGGGTGTTCTGTCATCTCAGAGTCTGTGGTGGACGGATGGCCAAACATCTGCGTGATGGGCGCCGATAATGAATTTCGAACGCGGTTCAGTCGGGCACTGCGACGCCACGATCCTCTGGCAGGTTGTGTGGCTTGTTCTGATGACGAGTTTAAGTATGCCGAACTGGTGGGCGTATCAGGAGTCAAGGACGGATCAGTTCGTGGAACAAAATAGGGTACTCTGATCAATCGCCGCCTGGCGATGCTTCTCGAGCTGAGCGACGTGAAAGGACTAAAGCGACTGCTGCTATGAGAGTCCGATCTCGGGTCTGATCTTGCTACAATTCCATGCCTGTGGGCCTGTCCCTCTGCCGGGGTCTCCTCTTCACTATTAAGAAGGCCACGAATAACTGAGTTCGGTAGAATCCTGGAACCTAGTCTCGACATTGTAGACTGACGTCGAGCGGCCATTCGCGCAAGTATCGCAGAGCGATACTCTTGCTGATCCGGTTCGTGCCGTGAACCATCTTCCTCGTGTATACTCTCCATCCTTGTCAAATGAGGCTGCTCAGCAGTTGGGGTGCCTGTTGCCTGCCATGTCGCGGCCTCTGGATTGCCTTGAGCTGAATGAGAAGTATGGGAGATGCCGCCATTCGGTTCTGCTCCTGACGGGATCGCGGTGTCCTCGGCCTGATCAGAATTCGGCCTGTGATTCATGTCTTCATTGAGATTCAGTCGATCACGGTCGGTGCGGAGGAAGGTGGATTGATCTGAGGGAGTCGTGTGGCGTTGATTCCTTTGTGTAGAAGAGGACTGTCCCATAGTCACGAAGATGTGAATGGGAAGTGGCGATGATTGTTTATAAACTGTAGATGGCCATGGAAGGACGGATGACTAAAGAACGCAACATTAGTCAGATGGACAACAGCAGCGACATGCAATCGAACGATCAACACCTGAGGCATACAAAAAGGACGAGCTCATTAAATCACAGATGAAGGCCACAGAGGAAATACAGCAATCCAGAAATATTCGACAAACTCGAAGAAGTGGTTCGAGAGTACCTTGGAAGATCTAAGAGAATTCACCTTTAAGCCATACCATACAACATTTGCAAGCTGAAAAGCGAGATTCTTGTAAGAAGAGGTTTCTGGAGGTCTTAGGAAGCTTTGTTGTCACCACCTAAAGGGGTATTGCCAGAGGACAGTTTCTCCGACGTGTCAGCAGTCCAAGGTTGCAGCACGCCAGAGGTCGGACACCAAAGGGAGCGACGATCGAAGTGAAAGAGAGCGTGTTAGTAGCAGAACTGAAGAGCGATTGTGGCAAGATTCGAACTAGTGAAGCTGAGCGACGAGACAGTACGGAGTATTTATTGAAGCTCGTACTGTTGAATACTGGTGATGGTGACGACGATGATGGCGGGACGCCGACCATAGATAGGAATCAGAAGATGATAGGCAGTCGACCTCTTTGCGGAGTAGTCTTTGGACTCTTTAAGCTATGAGCCAGAGTCCAGACACTAACTACTCTCGTCCCAGTTTTAGTTGGTCGCTGTCTAGTAAGGTAGTAGTTCGTAGTGAGTGTTGTTGATCTCGTTGTTCGTCATCCAACGGTCCAAGCCTCCAACAGTCCAGCGCTTGGGTGTGGTTTCGGCGGGATTCCAATTAGGCCGATTATTAATAAGTCAAGCCGGCTTGCAGCAGGTGATTCGCCTGTTTCAATTTAGGCCTTGTAGGGCCTTAGGCTCACCACTCACCAGCCAGTACTCCATCGTGAAGGATTCAGATAGGTAGTCTACCCGCGTCATGAATTTCCAGGAAACAGTCACCGGCAAAAATGGCGCTATTCTGAATGAGGGCTATTATTGTTGAAGCAAAGTATAATACAAGCATAATGGTTCATTGCTATTTTCAGCACCATTGCTTTAGTGTGCTTGATGTCTTGAAGCTTTCAACTGTTCCAGTTGGAGGATAATATATCCTCTGCCTGAGAAAGACAGCTTTTGATCCGAGCAGGAAAGGCGACGTTACAGGAAGGCGGAAAAATCACCACTTCCTTGCACTCATACGGGGTCTATCTCCCTTGGTTTACCGCTGGTTACTACTACTTCGGGGTTCAGCATTTATTATGGCGTTCGTTCCTTCGGCATCTGCGTTCTCTTTGCCTCTCCCATCATGGCAGCAACCTGCCAGCGTGCGGGTAGCTCGCTATGAGGCCAAAAAGCGCAAGAAACATTCTGATGATTGGGGAGATGACCATGGAGATGGCGAAGGAGAGACGACGGATGCTGCGTCGGAAATAGCGCCTACTGCTCCGTCGCTAACATTGTCTCCTGAAGAAGCCCATCAATATCGCATTGCTGGCCTTTCATTCGACCAAGAATTACCTGGAGGCCTCTTCCCTCATGCCCCTGCTAAGAACGAGTCTCTTAAGAAGGAGAACCGTGGCGATGTCTTGAAAAGTCTCTCTTCCTTGTCTCCTCCAATATATCCTCCACAATCCAGTGCCTACCAGGGCAACCTTCGACTGCAACATTTGGCCGTGATCACTTCCATTCTGCACCGCTGTCTTCTGCAAGGTGACTACATCCGTGCCGGAAGAGCCTGGGGACTGATTCTCCGCGAAGAATTTGCCGGTTCTCCCATCGATGTTCGCACTGAGGGCAGATGGGGCATTGGCGCTGAGATCCTGCTTCGACGTGGCCACCAGGTAGCAGAAAATGCACCAGGGCTTCAGCCGAATGGTGACGGACACGAAAGCGGAGGGGGGCATGTTTCCAGGCCATACTTTACACGGAAGGGGTTTGAAGATGCTAAGCATTATTACGAGAGGCTTATTGTACAACACCCGTACCGCAAATCCGCTCCCGACGCTATCAGTTCCTTGCATTTTTACCCGGCAATGTTTGGTCTGTGGATATACGTTGCCCAAGAGGAGAATAACTTAGCCAGAGAAGATATTCACAGTCGCCATGAAGACTCGCCCGGAGACTTTTCGGAAGAAGAAGAATTAGGGCAGGGCTTCGACGGCGAATCCGGATCTAAGCACAGAAAGGATCATCTTATTACGAGCGTACGAGCGAGGGAACTCGAAGAAGCACAGCAAATTGCGGCCAGGATGGATGAGATACTTGTCTCTCCCCCGTATTCGGATTCTCCTGAGTTGTTGGAGCTCAGGGGTATGGTATCGCTCTGGATTGGAGATCTCTTTGTGTCATGTGTCCCATACCAAGAAGAGGACGAATATGACATTGACGATCGCAGTTCTGTGAAAGAGGATGCCGACCATCTACACGACTCGATTCAAGCCAGGCGTGAGCGACGGCTTGCAATGGAAAAAAGACAGTCTGAAATTCTCAAATCGAGAGAGTTCTTTGAAAAAGCAAGGCAACGTGGCAGAAGTGTTGCCTCCACATTGGAACACTTTCACATTGATGACAATGCTTCGATGGCTTCATCTGGTATGGGATTCTAGAGATCTCAACTTACTTTGCGCTTCGTTCATGAATGGGAATTGTGTTGTATGTAAATAGCTTATCGATTGTACATTATAGATAAATGTGGTAAACACGCTCTCTACTGTACCTAGCAAGCAACCTTGAGACCATCTTCCTCCATGCTGTTATCCAGCTGCTTATCACCACGTGACTTCGTGAGTATCAGTCTGGCGCGCCGTGGAAATAACGCGTTTGGAATCTGCTCTTGGGCAGCCAGAATTTGAACATTGACGCAGAGGATTGACAAGCTCACCACTTTTCAGGCAGTGACCGGCATATTTCATATCAATCTACTGCGGTGAACATTCAGCGAGCTTGAGATTGAATGTCTACCTTCCGAAGCCTTTGATCCAAGTAACCATGGGGGTGGGAGACTATATCCATTCCAAGGAGGCTGGTCCACCTCGCCAATCCAAGGCTGATGCACCGAATCAGTCCCGGCAGCTCTTAGCGCAGCAGGTGAGAGTTGAAGTTCCCCAGACTCAACTTGTTGCTCCCGTGCCTGTAGGGATGAACGGAAGAGCACAGTTGGATGCATACGGGGGAGTGACATTTCCGGAGTCGTCGCAGGCAGCGCATGAAAGTGGCGTGCACCGGGACATGTTTGACACGGATGTTGAGGGGATCGATGACTCAACTGTTGCTGGAACAAGCGTTGTCGATGTTGAAGAGATTCAACGACCGCAACCGCAGCAACATCACTTGCCGCCAGTTCAGAGTGTGCAGTATCAGGAGCCAGAAGGGAAGACTCTCCACGACTTCCGTCACGGACGTCGTCCATATTCATCGAACTGGTATGAGAACTTGGGAGACAAAGCCATGAAGACCGCGGGTTTTGAATCAGATGATGCCGATGCCGACGATGATACCAGCCAAATGACGTCCGTCGCGGGCGACGACAAAGCTGAAGATAATAACGACTGGTACATGTCTCATGGACACCGTCATGCCGAGGAACCTCTAAGCAAACGTCTAGAAGGCTTCTGGAGTGCCAGTAAACGAAAACATACTAAGCCCGGCCACCAGACTCAGGGGGAATCGGCAAAGTTCTCTACTACGTTTTCATCAGCAAACGCAGGCAGGAGAATTGTCCTCCCTCGCAGTATGACAGCAACTCCGAGGACGCGTTTCAGCCCGCCAAAGCCGTCCCTCCTTGACAAGCTGGACATCTCTCCAACTCGGCGCACCGCCGGTCCAAGAGCACAATCCCGGAGAAAAGACAGCATTACCCGTTTCAACTCCCATGGACCGGAGGGAGACACAGGGCTATTCGCAGATGATCACGGAAAGGGCGACAGCGAACCATCCTTAACTGCGTTCGACATTACCCATTTTGACGATCTCGACGACGACGAGACGATCCGCGATCCTTTTTCCAGACGTGCTTCGGTCAAGCGCATAAGCTCAGATACGGCCCAGACGAAGAAGCGAACCCTAGAAGCAGACTATCCTCCTGAAATTCTGTCCAAGAAGACTCTTGAAGAACTCCAGGCTGAGCCGTTTGATTTCGATCCCGCCACTGCACGAGCCACCGCTACTCTGAACCCATCGCAGGATCCATCTGGATACACGGAAGAAGACAGAATCTCTTTACTCATGAAACTATCTAAAGAGGATCGCCAAACATACCTCTCGAATTTAAGTATTGATGAATGGGAAGAGTGCGGCGATCAGTTGCTTGACGAATTCTCCAAGCTACTTTCGGAAATGAAGGAACTGCGCCGCGCTCGTCGAAGGACGGCTGCTATGTTCGAAGCAGAAATAAAGAGAAGACATGATGCTGTTCGGGAGGAAAGTTCCGATTTAGAAAAGAAGCTGAATGAAATGAAGACGGGCGGTGCAGAGGTGCTGCGTGGTCGTACCCCCTGAAGCGCATACCTTGCGACAGAGCAACGCAGCAATACTATCAACCCTGGTGGTTGAAGAGAGCTTCGTAACGAGGCCCGCTGTTACTACTCTTATTTCGATTATTTTACCTAATTTGACGTCTCTGAGAAAGGCCATGTTATGTTACCATACGCTGCTGCAATCAGCCATGAGGATGTCATGCTGAAGATCACGTCGTGTGTTTTCCATCATCTTACGCAATCTGCCTGAGACGAGATCCTAGGATTCGGGTTTCATCCTCTAGAAGGCATATGTTAATAGCATCATTATACCCTTGTGCAATTGAATTATCGACTGATGAATATGTTTTCCTTTCCTATCAGCACTTCGAATTGCGTCAAAGTTGTACTCGCTAACTCCCATAATGCTACCATCCTCAAAATGACTCTAGGGCTTATGTTTCCACCGCCTGAAAATGAACGCCATCTGCAATCTATCATATAGTGTCATGAACGCCGTGAGATCAAACAAACAATGCGAGGGGAAAATAGGAATGCGGGAAAGTGGTAAAGTGACAAGCATGAGTTAACTCGAGTCCGAAGCCTGCCGGAATAACGCTACTGCAAGACGTTTGTAGTCTTCGAGCAACACGGATACATCACCTATTGTCAGTTCGTTGGCATGTTGGGTTTGGAGAAATCTTTGAATAGGCGGATCGATCTTAGGCTGGTTACTGCTGTTATTCCTGGGGACTTCTCGAGAAGAAGGTGAAGCCTTCGTCTTCTCTGAAGGAGCAAGAGTGGCGAAACTTCCTGCCGAGTCCGGCGTGCTGCGCCCGAAGTTCCGTATCATCCCCGGAATATGATTAAGCGGATTGATGCTGTTTCCGAAGTTCCTCATTGACTCTAGAGGGGTGGTAGGCAAAGGGTTCGTTTGAGAGGCAGCTGACGAAGGCTCATCCTTTAGCGCACCCGTGGTGGCAGTGGCCATTTTCAAGCTGGCCTGAGTCCTCACACTGTCCGTGCTACGATCACGGGGGGTCCTGTGTCCACTGACTAGACCCATGAAGGTATCTTCCGCCCTTGAGCCGATGCGCCGCAGTGGGGGTCGATCAGGAGTCGCTAAAGAATCGCCCACTATATTATCCCGAGAGACACCCTTATCAAGGGAAGGCGGAGAAGTGACAAGACGACGAGCTTCTGCTAATGTCTTCGGCAAGATTGGATTGCCACCGTCTTTGGCGGACAGTTGGCTGGATTGCAGCTCCTTGAGACGGCCGAACAGAAAGTTAAAGCTGCTGTCCAGCGATGCGCTAATATTCTTCAACCCTTGATCGGCAGTGTTGCGAACAGCATCGTTGGCAGCGCCAAGCACTTTCGACGGAGGTTGGAACAAATTGTTCAGACGAGGTTGTTGAGGCGTCGCGGGTGGCTGTTGCTTAAGTAGTCTTTCGGCAGCATCTTCCTTAGCATCTGATTTAAAGATCTCCGGAGAAGCGTTCGCTTTTGTAACGGTAGACACGAGGGCCTTGCTCATCTGGTGAGAGGTGTCAAGGCTGTCAGAAGTAACTGTCGTCTCATTGCTCAGTTGAGCTTTTCCTTCCTGCGTTTCGTCCGCTCGTAGCTCCGATAGTTCTACATTTTCCAGGAAGCTGATTGCAGCTTCGAGGTTTGTTAAGCAGTAAGCCGTCTCACCATCGATTTTGTTTGACGACCGGAACCGCTGTATAAAGAGAAGATTACTAATGATGTTAATACCTTCTGGCGGGCAAGTGATAAGCGTATAGATCAAGGTGGGTAGGATCTCATCGGCCGAGGAGGAAGAAGGAAGAAGCTTTGTCAATGCATCAACGATAGCCTTGTGTGCGCCAGCCAGATGCTGAAGCTTCCCCAAAGGATATTTCGCTTCGTTCATTCTTGCCAGACATTCACGGGCAACGGAGAGGCACTGGTCCGCCTCTTTCTGATCCTCTTCATTGATAGTGGCCATGTCGATGTCAATCCCTAGGTCTTTCAGGTTTATCCCAACCAAGAGTAATGCTGCTGTTTTTGAACGCAACTTCTCATCCCGAACTTCATCCAATGTGCTCTTATGCCTCCAGATTTTGTCGTAGACGCATTCACAAGCTCTTCGCTCGATAGCTTCTTCCAGAGCAGCCCCTTTAGAGGCGAGCGACTTTCGAGCCTTCCGCCGTTCAGCAACCTCTGATGCTGTCAACATCTGCCGGCTAGACGGAACATTGCCTGAATCTCTGTTTGTTGATTTAGACTGGCCGAAGCCCCGAGAAGCACGGGGCGGGGGAGGGTTAGGAGAAGGATCGCGGTTTATTCGAGACGCTAGGGCTGATACATGAGTAGCAATGTGCGATTCAGCCCGAACGTAAAAGTCTTGAAAGCGCTGAGATATCTTCTCGATGGTCGGCGGAGAGGAGTGTACCTTGGCGCCCAACGAGTTAACGAACCTAGCAAAAAATATGTTAATGCGTGAGCAACTTATGAATAGAGTAGTCTGACCTACCGGTCAGTTAGGCTCATTAGTTCAATCGGTAGCTCTTCGGGTTGATCCTGCAGGCCCCGAGACAGAACAGAGACCTCTTCACCCTGTTGCCCATCATCTCCTGCTTCCGATCCCGAAGAGCCCCTCTTCTCAAACAAGTCCGGACCATTATCGTGCTCATCGTCATCTACTGACAATGGAAGGGGGAGCGCGGTCGAGTCCACCAACTCTGGAATTGCTACCGATTGAACAGTCTTCGCCCTGGTGCGGGCAAAGGAGCTCAATTCCGGGTTGTCCATTCGCGGAAATGATCGAGCAGTATGGAGACGAGGCTTCGCAGCGTCATTGACCGAAGAATGCGACGACATGGCTCTTCAAAGCATGCACCCTGCGCCTTTTATTATTGAAAGTTATTATTTCCCTCGCAGTCCAGCTGATCGGCTCGCGCAGATCGGGCAATACCTGCGTCTCCGCGACAGAATGGGTCAGCTGGTAATCAGGACAGATTTCGAGATACACCAGAAGAACAAAACAAAGAACTGAGACGAGCAACAAGACAGCAAACAACTGAAGGTATCAACTAGTACCAACAGACATATTAAAAAGCCAGTAAAACTGTCAACAGTGACAGAGATGTAGTAGAGTGTATGTAGCT